CGTTTGTCATTGCATTCCAACCTACCCTTTTTCCGAAGTTCAGGTTTGCCCTTTTTGACTGTCGCCATCACCATATCACCAACGGCTGCAGCTGGCAATCTGTTTAATCTACCTTTGATACCTTTCACGGATATTATATATAAATTCTTGGCTCCTGAGAAAAAAAAAAAGATGAAAAAGTTATGATCAGTTTGGTATCCAGGGCAACAATTCAAGTACCAGATTTGCTCTACGAGAAGTGAATCTTGTGCATTTTAACTTATTGTTAACTTAAAGCGAGAGAGTCATCACCTGTGCAGGCGCGGGAATCGAGTCCCACACAACGATAACGCACGCTAAAAATGCAAAGGCTCATGAGTAGACACTCGTTTGTAAACAATGACACGTAAACAGGTGACGACTCCCTCGCTTTAATCATTAAAATAGAAACATTGACCATAGAAAAGCTTCTGTAAAACATGCAAGCACATGCACTACTAATAGAGCAAATATGGTAACCATACTACCCATGTATTTCTATTTTTTTCTGATTTTATCAAACCCAATATTTTTGTGACAAGACACTACTGTGGAATACTTTATTTTCGCTGGAATTAAATTTCGCTGAAAAGGCTTTTGGGGCGTTCTGTATGGAATTTATTTTCACTGATTTCTGATGAGTTTTATGTGAAATATAGGAAAAAAAGTATATTCGCTGGATTTTATTTTCACGGAATCACCCCTTCAGCGAAAATAAATTCCAAGCGAAAATAAAGTATTCTACAGTACCTTATTAGATTTTAAATACAAGACAAAATGTTTTAATTTTTTGAGGAAAAAACTTCACTTTTGTTTTTCTTTTTTTAAAAGATAAAAAGTGATGAGAAAAAATTAACGTGGGGGAGTCGTCACCTGTGCATGCGTCATATGGCCATAGGGTGTCTTTGTTTACAAATAAGTATCTACCCATGAGCCTTTCCGTTTTTAACACGTGTTGTTAATCGTCGCTTGGGACTTAATTCCCGCGCATGCCTAGGTGGCGACTCTTCCGCTTTAACCTAATTTGTTAAATATTAGTTAAATATTCCCACCACGCTAACGGGAACTAATTTGTTAACCGCACAATCCAGCGCTTTACATCCCAAGGCAAATATAAACGGCACGTCCTGTTCCTGTGCTAAGACAATACTTGAAACTTATTTTATTGGATGCTTATTGGTTGAATAATTTCTATTTTGAGAGAATATGCTTTGCTGTACTTACCTGTGTTGTCAGCACAGTTCACAACTGCACCCACTGGTAAACCCAGCGAGATGCGAAACTTCGCACCAGATGAACCTCCACGTCCTGTCAGAAGAAATCAAACAGAATATTACAAATCAAAATACCTCGTTTATTTCATGATTGGTACAAGTTTTCAATTCATGACCAATGTCAAGTTTCCTTCACGCATTTGCACTGGGTTTGAGCAGACAAGATACTACTGTAGAATACTTTATTTTCTCTTGGAATTTATTTTCGCTAAAGGATGATTCCGTGAAAATAAAATCCAGCGAATATACTTTTTTTCCTATATTTCACATTAAACTCATCAAAAATCAGTGAAATTAAATTCCATACAAAACGCCCCAAAACCTTTTCAGCAAAAATTAATTCCAGCGAAAATAAGTATTCCACAGTAATTTGACTTCAGGGAAAAGGGATTTATCTTTAACTTGTTTTATTTATTTTATTTTGTAATTAATTCGATAATATTGGCATGGTCACAAGCATGGATTGCAATAAACAAGGGTCTGATACAACAAAAATTTGAAACTAGGTAATTCCATTGAATGATTGAAACATATCAAAGGACTCATTCAGAATTTAGTGCATATTGCGGCTTGATCTTAACTTGCACGTTTGCCACTGGGTTATGGAAAACCAATACATATCTTACATATGCAAGACACAATGAACACATGCAACGGTCAAGACAACATGAAGTATTTTTTTTAAATAAAACCATATCTGAACAAGATGCATTTAAATAATCAAAACTGACATTAATTGACACACAATGTAAGGCCAAATTCCTCAAGAAAAAATAAACAAGAGGGAGCACACACAGGTGATCAACCTGGAAACCCAATATCGGAAGGTTTCTGCACCATTTTATTGGTGTACATGTATCTATCGCCAGTGAAATATTTTTGGAGTAATTTTAGTGTATTTGGTGTCTAGACACATTGTTGTTGCCGAGAAGTTTTCACAGAGAAAAATATATTTGAGAAAGATTTCATGTTGTACGGCAGCACAGAAGTGCACGGCTCAAGAAATATATTTATGACTTGAAAGTTCAATCGTCAATTCAGTAAGACGGCACCAGCCGAGAATATCAAGGCACTGTGCCCTGTTCCCTGGTTAAGAACCCCCCCCCCTGATATTACTGTTCTATTATGAGTGGATTTTTCATAATCTTATGATAATAGATGTTATCTGGTCTAAAGCTACCAGGTAGTCAGGTACAATGATATCATGCAACAGAAACGTGAAAATAGTTATTATGGGGCATGGATCCCGAGTTGGAACAATGCAATATTTTTCATATTTTAGAAAATTAACACATCAATCGATAGAAGAGATGGCACATGCTAACACTTATCCTGCCAGCTGCATGTACTGTTTTACATAATCAAATAATGATCCAATCAGAGTTAGGATTCAAATAATCAGACAAAATATTAATTGCAAAAATAAATGTTACGACTATATTTAAATAAGTATTGTTATAGAATTACTATTTGCGGTTCTTATTTCGTCTTTGATTACTTATCGTAAATTATCCTAGGAGTTGTCATACAATGGTTCTATTTCCAACAGTTCTGTAAATTTGAGATGCGTCATAGCTGGAATAAGTTTCACGATTTTATGCATTTAACTAGACAAAATAATTTGAAAACACTGAACTCGGCAGACATGTGTTTGCAACTGTCCGAGCGCTCGATATCGAAACTCGCCGCTGAAAACGTCACGGCTCTTTGCAATTCGAATTCACCACGATTCGTCGTACGAAAGCAAAACATTCATCACCGACGAAATATAATAATTCGATCAACCTGCGAATTCCAATAAGCTTAAACAATGTGATCTTTCTTACACACAACAGGAAAGTTGAAATTGGCCGCCATCTTGGATCATAACAGAAAATACAAGCACGGCGATGGTGACAATTTTAAAGGCCATTTTAAACATTAAATCGTACTCTTCGTTTCAAAATATATCAACGCATATGTGCAACGGTTATTAAATAACATATCTGGTACGAAAAGTGTTTATTTAATTGCACCAAACGCTCGATGGTCAATGATATTGTAACCTAAGCAAAATCCCCATTTACCTCTTTTTGACATGTTGATGAAAAAGGGCTATTCAGTTTGTACATGCGCAGTGAGTAGATTTCTTCGAAGCCACGTGTGGTGGCGCTGTTCACAAGAAAAGGTCATGCATGTACTTTGCGTATGCCTGTTAACACAACAAACCCTCAGCTTGCGTAAGCCGTAACATGTTCGCCGACGTGTAAACATGGTCGAAAATTCTTCAAATTCATCAAATATAAACATGGTAGCATAATGAATTATTTAAATGTCATTACAGTGGGTTAATGTTATCAAATAATGCAAAGGTAGCCCAGAAAACGTGTAAACGCCGACTGCCCAATAAAACTACCCAGAACGTACCCGGGGAACGTACACAGGGAGTTGAAATAACCAATATAAATTGTTATTAAATAATTTAAAAATACCTCTAGTAATACTAGTATTTTGCTAGTATTAGTTTAAAATGGTGACATTGAATATAAAAAAAAAACTAAAAGATTAAATAGAGGGGCAATATCACAACTTCAACGAATGCATGAGTGGCATACGTCATAGAAACACAAGCCCAAAATTACCGAATCGAAAAAAAATGGATGACTATCAAATCTTTTCCCCGATGTTCTTACAGTAATTTCTTGGTTGATATTTCGCTGTACAGGCTGTGTCTCCAAAAGTGCTCCATTCGGTGGAACACACATTCCAGTGGAACCCCTGAGTGGAAGTTTATCTTATGTCACGGTGGAAGTTCACCCGGGGTCATGGAGGAAGTACGCCACGAGGTGGAAGTACTCCACGGGGGACCAGACTTACATAACATCTGGCTTTCGCAAAATAGTTTTAATGAGTACCAATGACGAGGAGTGTATTTCTAAACGTCTCTATCTATAGTGAAATTAAGCGATCTTTGAAGAACATTGTTATCTTTACTTCTACACTGATTACAGTTGAGCTCAGCCAGATGTAATGGCCATAGTTCGAAGTGGTCAGTGGTCAATAATTATCATCAGCGGCATTTCATTTTCAGATAATATATCAGCTACACAACACGCGCACCACACAGTATTTTATTTTTCGCACAGTAGTCTATTTCAATCAACAAAGCTTCCCGCCCGTTTATCGTTCAGTACGTCCATGCACACAATCAACAACCCACTAACACTTCAACCACAGGCCGAGTTCTACCACAGGCCGAGTTC